ATTTATTGTTATGAGTGTGAGAGAGAGAAAGAAATAGAGGGAGAGGGAGGGAAAGGCCTACCAGAGAGAGAGAGAGAGAGGGGGGGGGGGACTACTCTAGAGAGAGAGAGAGAGAGAGAGAGGCTGAATGGCAAAATTGAAATATGGGTCGAATTGCGGCCGCGATCTATTTCACAGCTGGAATGATTTTTTAAAATTTATTTAGCGTTTTTCCTGGAAAGATCACAACAAAATCTACGAGTACTCCAATTTTCAGGTTTTTTCACGCATTCTTCTGAGCGCGAAAACTCACTGAATTTGGAGTACTGTTTTAGTTGGCCCAGGCATGGCTGAGTGGCAAAAATGGAAAATGTACTCTAATTGGCGCGGCGATTATTTCGCAGTGTAAATGATTTTTTGTAAATGTTCTATTATTATTTTTGGAAAGAACACGACCTCATCTATGGATTCTCAAAATTTCAGATTTTTTTGCATGTTCGTCTGAGCACAGAAAATCGCGAAAGTTGCCTCTTGCAAAACGCCTGGTTCGTTGTGCCTGACCTCCCTGTTTTGAGAAGACGGGGCTTAACGCCTGGGCCTGAGGGCCCTTTTACAGTTCACATGCCCTCACTTCTTTTTGGGGTCCGCTTCTACCCGATGACTGGTCCAATGCCCCCCACTTCTTTTTGGGGTCCACTTCCGCCCGAGGACCGGTCCTTCGTTTTTCCAAAAGTCCCGGTTCTACCAGAGCTAGCTGTAGGTACTCCGCAATTTTGGCAAGGACCGGTCCCCCAATTTTTTTTGCCCCCTAAGAACCCACTTTGTGTCCTGGTCGCTCGTCGCCAAAAATGCGACACCTTGACACAGACACGGAAGCACACTATACTGCAGCCTAAGGGCTGCGAATTGATTGATTAGCACCGGGGAGGGGGCGTGGGTGATCATGAAGGGGCACAGGCACCACCCCGACCCCAAAGAAAAATAGAAAACTAAAGAAAACGAATAAGAAGAAGAAAAAAGGTGTGTGTGTGTTGGCTTGGGACACTTTTTTTCTATACACCTTGCCCCCCCCCCCATGAAGCTCCATGCGAGCATGCAGCCGGGGGGCACGCGTTCAAATTTCTCCCATCCCTCGCCGCATGGCCCTTCAAACGCGTTTCAATGCGACGCGTAGTGGTTTGAACGGGCCCGTTTGAACGAGAACGCGCGTTTTCAGCATTTAAACAGCAACATAACAGCCCACCTCTGCCTGCTCTCACCCCTGCCTCCCTCCTCCCGGCACCCTTATGTTGGTCACCACTCCGCCTACTTCCTCTCTACTTCCCTTGCCCTGCCGAATACGAGCAGACGAAAGAGAGCCCAGGGGGTGAAGCGGAGAGAGGGCACCAACCATCTTTCAATTTATATGTGTGTCATGAGGGAACCGAAGGATGAATCAACTACGTAATCAATCCGAGTACATAATTGGTTCAATTACGTAATCGATTGGATTATGTAACCGAATTCCATTACGTAATCAATTTGGTTATACTGTCAGAATCTTTTTTTTTTTTTTTTTTTTTTTTTTTTAAACAGGGCCTTGAATAACTTACATTACAAAAGACACCCACGCTTCCTTCCGTTCGGCCGAAGGACCCCTGAGCAGCATTGATTGCTCCACCGTTGGTGGAGGATACTGTCAGAATCGATTCTATCATGGTCCGATTACATAATTAACGACGTGAGGGGAGTTGGGAAGAGCGACGCATACGGGAAGGGAAGGGAAAGGAAGGGAAGGAGCGGAGTGGAGAATGGTGGGGGAAAACATCGAGGAGTGAGTAACATAAACGAGCAGGAGGAGGGAGGCGAAGGGGAGGGGAGAGGCTAGTGGAGGTGGATGCGAAGGGGAGATGGGAAGGATAAGATGATGGCAACTGCAAGGCGGAGGGGAGAGAGGTGTGGGCAAGATGAGTACAGGGGGTGGGTATGGCAAGATGACGGCGGATGAAGGCAGAGAAAAGAGTGTCGTGGGTCGGAGGGAGAGGGGACAGCTGAGGGGAACCCCCTCCTCCCTCCCTCTGCCCGCTGGTCGCACCCTGTCGCTCTCCCGCACCAAAGGTATAGGTCAGCAGACCTTTTCTTGCATTAGGCTACCGTCTTCCCCCGAATACAACGTACGGTCATTATAGCTGTATTTAGACTGAAAGATAACCCAAATTCAACTATAATGACCGTGTGGTGTATTCGGGGGAAGACTGTAGTTCTTGCAGTAGCCATGCGAACACAGAGTCATACACACAATGGTGCTGCAGCAGGACTCTCGTCTTCAGCAGCCAACGACTTCACACTCTCTGCATAACATTTCTTTTTTTCATAATGTCAGACGAGGTTAGTTCCTCCACTAGTCACGAGAATACACAAATGACGTTGCTAGTACTTATTACAGCATGTCATGTCTACGGCGTCTCGCAGCAACGTCATACATGACTCACACACTCAATATTGCTGCAGCAGTGGGAAGACCTGCTGCAGCAACGTCATGAGTGTAAGTCTGTATTCCCATGGCCACGGCAGGAACTAAGCTCGTGAGACAAAAGGTCTGTGCTAGTCTAAAAGACCTTTTGTTGCACCAACCACAGTCCTGCAGCGCCCACACACTGCTGCAGCAGTGTGATAGTGTGGGGGGGCCTTTGTGTACTGCTGTGTGCGCATGTGCGTGTGAATCTGTATGTCGCAGCTGCACCGCCAAAAGGCCTGGATTTGGGCTGTGTGCCAAAAGGGAATCCATTACATAATCAATTACATTTTCACATGAGCTGAAAAACGTGCATGTGGGAATAGAATCGATTACGTAATCGGTTTTATTTCAGCATGTGCCAAATCAACGTAATCAATTCTGTTTTTGGCAACTTTTTGCGGAGGCAGACAAAAAAAAAAAAAAAAACATCTAAAAACCGTCTGAAAAAAAAACAACCAAATTTTGTATTAAGATGATCAAATTTCAATAAAAATAATAAAAAACAAAAACAGAACGAAAAAACAACCAACATTTGCCCCCGACTTTGTTTTCTGTTTTTGTTTTCCCCTAGGGTTTGGAAACAAATTTCGGGATGACTCTCAGGCAAATGTTGTTTGTATTGCAATGATGCATATAACATGTTGTTTGTATTGCAATGATGCATATAACATGTTGTTTGTATTGCAATGATGCATAACGTATACTCTTTTCCAGTTTTTTTATTCCGTTTTTTTTTTGCCTGCGCGGAAACGGGATCGATTATGTCAATTTGGGACATGCTGAAATAGAATCGACTTCATAATCGATTCCATTCTCACTCATGTACAAAAATAAAATGGATTACGAAATCGATTCCCTCGCCATAAGACCACGCACTGTGGCGAACAAACACATACACACGTGTACTGCTGCGGCAGCAAGCAACCCACAACCTCACAGTCAAACCACACACACACACACACACACACACACACACACACACACACACACACACACACACACACACACACACACACACACAGAGCAGCTGTGGACTCGCACACACATGCGCACTCACTCAAGTGCATAAAGCCCTACACTAGGCAGCAGGCCGACGGCGATAGCAGAGGCAGTGGCGAAGGAGGCGTCATGCCGGAGGAAGCAGTAGGGCAATGGCAGACAAGAAGGGATGACTGCAGAGGTGGCAGGACGGCAGAGCGGTGATGGTGAAGGCAGGGCAATGACGGAGGAGGCTGCGGAGGTGGGGCAATGGCAGCGGTGGCAGTAGACGGGGTGAAGGCAAAGGTGGCGATGGTGGAGGTCAACCGCAAAGAGAACGGCAGCGGGGGCCAGGACATGTCGCGGACGATGTCTTCATACTTATTAGACTGATAAGATAGTAATATATTTTCTTTTGAAGTAAAATATTATGATTGTAAGAGTGATTATTCTATTAGATTTAATAGAAAAACGTGCCATCAAACTGATTACGTAACCAACTCGACTACATAGTCAAATTTGATTACATGTATGTAATCATACTTACTTGATTACGTAATCTACTAGACTGCATGATCGACCGATCCACCTACTGACTCACCGACAACCGACCAACCGACAGACCGAGTGACTAACCCACCAACCAAACAACCAATCCATCCATCCATCCACACATTAGAGACCCTTTTTTTTTTCTTTTTTTTTCCCACACATTAGAGACCTTAACAAAGACTTTAGAGGAGATTCAAACCGACGACAGCACATATTCAATGGATGGATACTGAAGAGGATGAGCAGAACATTTATCCTAGCCTCGGTCACCAGTTTAAGAAAGCAGAGTCCTCCGCTGACAGCGTTTGTCGTGGTAGTTCTCATGATGTACATTTTTGGGGCCTTGCAAGTGATACATCCTCGGAATCGATTCCTTCTGTCTGATGTTTGATGTGAAAATTTAATTTCTCACTTCGCTTGTTGTTATTCCTGCGGTTCGCTTTCGATTCTTCAATTTTCAAATCCGGCTGCTGAAACACTTCACTTGCTTGTTTGTCTTGCCCATGCTGCGTGAGTTATCTAAAGTTTCTAATGAGCTTGCCTTGCTTGCAGTACACCGCCCATGTGTAAAAGAGTTTGCCATATAGTTATGCATGACTGCTCCGAGAAAACATCTACATCTTTTCTTTGTGCACGACAAACCGCCAGCCTTCAGTTTTGGCCGAAAATGTGTTTTTTGCTTTCCTTGCTACCTCTATTCCGTAACCTATCCAAAATATTTCTTCAGGTTTCTTCAAAAGCTTTCGTGACTGCGGACGATACTTGTCCTCTAGGAGCACGACAAAAACTAGTTTCTTAAAGAAAAGGAAAAAAAAAACACTCTTGAAATTTGTGACTCAGTCCAGTTTTCATGAAATGTGTGCTTTTCGCAAACGTGTTTTTCGGCGACTGGTGCTGCAAGGCCCATTGCTGGGTGCCCAAATCCCAAGGCTATTGGTAGCTCAAGCAAGATGTGTACCCATCATCATGTGGACCATACTGGAACCAAGCTGGTGCGAAGTACGGACCTATAGTCTTATAATGGACCCACAACATTAAGGATTGGGGAGGGGAACCAGGTCTTGTCCAGGTGCATGTCCAAGGTATGAACCTGAGGGTGAGAGGTCCATAAATCCGCCACGCCTGGCCCAAGCCTGCTGAAGGGGTCGGGGACCTGAAGAATGTGATCGCTTTGCGTGATGAGGACCATAAACCGCCATGCCTGGCCCAAGCCTGCTGAAGGGGTCAGAGACCTGAAGAATGTGATCGCTTTGAGTGACGAGGACCATATAAACCGCCACGCCTGGCCCAAGCCTGGTGAAGAGGTCGTGGACCTGAAGAATGCGATCGCTTTAGGACCGTGGGCCAGGGTTCGTTCAAGTGTCGGGCGGAACGCTTGTCACCGGTCCCCAGTGTGAACCATACAGGCACCACGCTACAGGCAAGATGGTCCAAGGCAGCAGGCCTGCTGAAGCTGTTGTGCAGCTCTGACACATGCAATGGCTATGTGGCAGTGACCTCCGCCTACCTGCACTTCATGCATGGACGCCTTAGGTTCGATATGTTCAGGGGAAGAGAGTAGTCCCACCCTGTCATATGCAAACAAACAAATCAGAATCTTTTTTTTTGTCTTTTCCCCTAGTTCATAGTACACATCCTGAAACCCACCCACATGCTCTACCTTCACTCCATAACTGATACATAATCTGAAATGGGTTTTGAACTTGAAGTAATATACCCGAGAACTCCAACGGCATGCAGAAGACTCGACAACGCACTTTGTCACACGCAGACACTTGGTCTATCCTTTCCTCCTCCCATCTTCCCTCGATATGTACACAATCTGAAAAGGGTTTTTTACCTTTTCTAGGCCTGCAACAAAGCACTCAAGCTGCATGCAGAAGAGCCAACACCGCGCTTCTCGCACATGCATGCTCGTCCTGTCCCCCGCAGCCCACCTATGTGCAGAGGCATCAAAACCACCATCAATTTTTTTTATTTTTTATTTTTTACCACCATCAAACAACTCTGACACTTAAATACTAGATGGTACGTAGTACGTAGTCCACTTCTCACACACAGATGCTTGTCCTCCTCCCATCGTTGCCTCTACACGTCCTGTGCACCATTGATTCGACCAGACCGATTGGCTGCATTCTCTCTCCTCGCCCCTCTTCAGGAAAGCTTTGTGTGCACAAAAAAAAACATTGGTTCCACCAGAGACCAATGGGCTGCGTTCTCTCCCATCTCACCTCTTTAGGAAAGCTTTGCATGCAAAAGTAGCGCCTGGCCTGCCTGATGCAACTGAAATTATCCGAAATGTAATGCGTATGTTTAACAGTTTTAAGTCAGGGCCTGAATTATCATTTAACCAGTACTCCCCTGTGGAATCGAATACCCGTCATGCAGAGGAATTGAAAATTGAAAATTGAAATATATATTACATGATTGGATGCTAGAAACCAGTTAACCTTTTTTCGCCGAGGGCTTCACAAAGTGCTTTTTATCAAGCTTATCGAGAGGTGTTGACTTCAACAAGAACAGGCGGGCGGCTCTCTCCTCGAGGCTACCTCCGCACTTCAACCCGCGTTTCTGTAGCTCCGCCTTCAATCCGTCCAAGCCTAGCACCTGCAAAACACACACCCAACAGACAGAAAACTCAGTCAGCTGTGGAAAAAGGGCACACCTGTGGGGCAGCGCAAGTTCTGGGAAATCTTTTGAATTTCCTTTTTCAAAAAGAAAAAGCGAAAAACGAAGTCAACACCAAAAAAAAAAGAAAAACAAGAAGACGAAGGTAATAAGAAGAACTAGAGCCTCTGGGTTGTTTGTGGAGGGATTCCCGGCCTCCTTGTTCAGTTGCAAATGAAATGCTACATTACAAAATAATAATAATAAATAAATAAATAAATAAATAAATAAAAAAGAGGAAGAAAGGTAAGAGGAACAAGAGCAAAAACAGACAACACACAAACCAGAGATCAGCAGACGAGGGGGGCGGGGCGGAACAAAGAGTGAAACTAACAACAGAAAATTGCAGCTTCTCACAATTACAAAAATAAAATCAATAGGTACAATATGCAAGGAACCCGACTGTTCATCACTTGCTGGAGTGCATCAGATCACATTGCATATTCACAGATTTCACAGATTGCAATGTCTCACACAAGCCCAATAGAAGATGAATGAGAACCAGGATGCTCAACTCAATTATCAAACCCAGAATTAGAGAGAGAACATCGTGAGTTCAAATATGTATAGCGCCGGACAGAGTTCAAGTACTGTTCAATCAATCACGAGTTCCAAGCCTGGCTCTCTCTTTAGCGCAAGCTACCAAACGTCAACAGCGCTCGACAGGTAAATGTCACCATAGCTCACACCTCCCTCTCTTTCGTCTGCTTTCTTCTCTCTCTCCCTCTATGTCTATAGTCCTGGTCTACTCTCAGTCATCATGCATGCACACTCCCTATCACACGAGGATCTACTTTGAATAGTACTCACTGAACTCTTCTACTAGCTATCCCTACTAATGTACTAACTGGCGCTGGCGCAGCTATGGATGCCTTCTTTCCAGCCGGCCCCCCTCTCCTCCTCCTCACACGTAGCGCTGCTCTCAGCTTAGCGCAGCTCACACACACCTGGCGCACAAGTGCCACGGCACTTCCACACTCTCATGCGAAGTGAGCATCTGTCCGAATGGAAGGCTGGCCAGTCCTTTATAGTGCTGGACTGGTCTGGCGTGGCCTGCATTCAGCCTCAAGTGTCTGGGACTCCTGCCCAGTACCCGTTGTTGCAAAGTGTGTGTCCCAGTATCTTTTCCCATGGTCTGCTGCTGCTTTAGGCCATCCGGCCTATCTTTTAAACTCCTGGTCTGAATCAGGACTGACTCGTGAGATTATGACTGAACTGGGACTGTGGCCTTTGACTCGTTGCCGAACACACATGACTTTCCATCGAGGAGACATAACCCTAACTCAGTCTAGAAAACTGTGTCCAATACCTGTTCGTGCAGGACCTGTTTGTGACTGTTCAAAACGACTTTTCATTTCATTATGGATGTGATATTTGCCTCAAGAACTTTTGTCTTTTGGGTTGCAGCTCGTGAATTTAAGTTCTGGCCGACAGGGCCCCTCGCTGTTGGGGTATTCATCTGGGGTCTAACTCGTAAAGGCCCTTTTACTCTCGCCGGCCTGATTTCGAGTCCTCTGAGAAAGTTCTTACCTGTCCACAGTATTGACACCTCTTCTTGCTCTTTCATAGTAAGATACTATGTTCGGTGCAGTTTCAATCAGCTCTTCTCTACTAAACCAGCGGTCTTCACTTGGATCTTGATAGGCAAATCTGCCTTTATATTGCCGCTGAGGTCTACCCCTGCGTCCAGTCTGGATAGTCCTTTCAGCAACGATCTTATCAACATCAAATTTCCCATCCATACTTGGAGGAATTGCTGATCTTCGACTGGGAAACAGTTCGTTGGTTACACAAGGTAAGAGCTTTGACGCGTGGAACACCAGGTAGGTATGCAAATGTGGAGGTATCTCAATAACATAGGAGGATCCATCTGCATCCCCTATCACATCCAATACTTGCCACGGTCATCTATAGGCAGGTAACAATTTTTGAGATATGTTTTTTTCTGGGATAAATTCCTTCGATTTTACCCAAACCAGATCACCTACAGCAAACTGAGAAGGTCTCCTGTGTTTATTGGCCTGTTCAATCATTTGATGTTGCGCTTTAATTATGCTCTCCTTTACCCTTTCTAAATCTTTCTGATACTGCATTGCGAACTCTCTGGTCCCTGGCGGAAGTTTATATGCTCTATCCGGGTTTAGACAATCTATAGGTCTGTGAGGACTCCCATCCCAAATGTAACTCCATCGGAGTTCTGCAAGTAGGCAAGTGCACAGAGTTATTATAGGCACTAGCAACTTTGGGCAAATGTTCATCCCAGTCAATCTGATCGGGACGAATGTACATACGCAGTGTCTGCTGCAAAGTCTTATTCATTTGCTCAGTCTGCCCATTTGCCTCAGGGTGTCGGCCTGATAACATTGTCAGTTTAGAGCCGTAGACATTCATTAGTTGCGGCCAATGTTCACTAGTAAATCGCGAGTCTCTGTCACTAACGATAGTCACGGGATGACCGTAGTCCTTTACCCAGTGGTTAAAGAATTCCCGAATTACTAAGTCAGTTTTAGCTTCCGCAGGCATCACTACAAAAACAACAAACTTGTTGAATCTATCAATGATTACCATCACTTGCCTTTTTCCATTCCTGCTTTTCACTTTAGTGTCCATGAAATCTATGGACACAGAGTCTCCATCACCTGTTGGGATAGGCAAGGGCTTCAATAGACCAAGGGGAGACTGCGTGGTGCTTTTGTTCCGTTGGCACACTTGACAGCCTTGCACATATGCAATACAATCAGATTTCATTCGAGGCCAGATATAAGAACGCAAGAGATTAGCGTAGGTTTTCCTCCATCTGAAATGGCCTTTGGTATCATGGATTCCCCTAAGATTACACTTTTGATCTCTTCCTTATTTGGAATACAAAGCCTATCTTGCACATCAGTTCTTTCAAACATCAGTCCTTAGGTTACCCGATAGTTAGGAAACTCTTGTGGCGCTTCTTGCACATGTTTCAGCATAGCACCATAAACAGGATCAGTGGAATAAGCATTCCTAATTTTATCTTGTAAATCGGTGCCTATAGCTAAATACGTTACAATAGCACCGAAGAAATCAGATCTTCGACTCAATGCATCAGCAACAACGTTATACTTACCCTTTACTGGCTTTAGCTCAAAGTCATACTGATCGATTTTTGCAGCCCACCTTGTCAGTTTAGGTGTCATCTGGGTCTGCGTCTTTAGCCAACGAAGTGTCTGATGATCTGAGTACACTTTGAAGTGGCGACCTAGGAGATAATGATGCCAATGATCCAAAGCTTCTCGGAGTGCTTTAAAGAAATCTTCAATACGGGTTTGTTGGGAATACTTTGCCATAGACTGACAATTAGCTTATTTCTGCAGGGAGATTGCAAAACTCGTTACATCTCCGGCCATAAACGAACTGGCCATGAGAACCCTGTCCCAATACGGTATACGTTGTCTGTACACATAGTACTCAACCGCAGCAATCCAACGTAAAACACTTTCTTCCTTTTTGCCGGTGTATGTCCAAGGCACCTTCACTTTTATCTTTCTGACTTCTAGATCTGCAATAATTAGCTGCCCTTTCCGTTTTTTCATTTCGACCCAGGCTTTGCGACGAGTGACCAACTCATCACCCATGCCTGCTAGGGATCCACCTATAGAGGTACATACACTAACTACCTCTGGACAACTGACTAGGTGGGGATCGTTTGTCTCTTCAGTTTCTGCCATGGGAACTTTCGAATGGGAGGAGGTGTCAGTCTGCTTGCATCCGAAGTTCCTGTAGAGGCAACTGAAACCCCTACTGGTTGTTCCCTTTTGGTTGTTTATAATCTGGGCAGAAGGGAACGATGTGGTTGGTGTCACCACATTTGAGGCACTGATCGGCGACTTTTCTATCTTGCCAGACTTTTTCTGTCATTCCCAATTTTTCCCAAGGTCTGCCTTCGGGCAGGCCTGGATGGGGTGGATACGGACGATCCCAGTTCCCGTTCCACGTGCCTCTTCCTCTTCCCCATATGGAGTTGGGTCCTTGGCCACCTTGCGAGGGACCATTGCCCCTTCCTCCCACATAGTAGCTTCCTTCGCCACCACCCCTCTGGGTGCCAGGTCCTCTTTCTCCGTGACCGCGACCTCCTCTTCCTCTGCCACGGCCTCTTCCTTGTCGCCCTCCCTCGCAGGGCGCAACGGCTGCGTAGTCCCCTCCTTAACTACCGATCCGTTGTGTGCATCTCCCTCCAGACCATAGTCTATCTGGTCGTAGGAAAGAGTTTCGACACCTCCTTCAAAGCTCAAAAGAAGGTCATCTTTCCCAGGAATACTTCCTGAGATGGTACGGTTTTGCCATTTCTTGTCGGCTTGCAGATCTTTCCAATAATGGCAGTAGTTCGCCTCTGCCAAGAAACTGGCATGATCTAATGCAGTCTTGCTAAACTTCTCGTAAGTCATCCCCTCTTCTTTGGTCCGGGAACGATTTGAAGATAAGAACTTAGCCCGAAGAACTGAAATGCCAATCCTGAATATCGCGAATAGGAAATGGAAAAGTGTGTCTGCACTTAAATCTACCATGGACGAACTTCTGCAATGCGCTAAACATGGACTCACCCCGACTCACCACTTAGCATAACACCACAAGGACGCAGGACCCGATTTCTAGAAGGTGCTGCTCCCCACCAATTGAGAGGATCTCTAGCCTACTAGTCGTGCCTCACGGCTTATACCTTGTTTGGCCAGGTGGCCCTGGCCACACAGGGGCGAAAGAAGGTCCCAGCAAAAAAGAAAAAAGAAAAAGAAAAAAAAAACCCTAAAAAAAACAAATGCTATGCAGAAAAATAAACTAAACAACTTTTGCCTCAGCGGCACATCAAAATTCCTTGCCAAATTCTAAACCAAAAATCAAAGTTTAAAATTTAAACTTCAAAAATATTTTTTTCATTTTTTATTTTAAACTTTTTTGGGCCCAGCCGGGCAAGTGGTCCGCAGCCACTCTGGTAGGGATCTTTGTTTTTCCTTTTGAAAGAAAGAAGTCCCCGTTGCCACCCACACAACTAAACAAATCTTGTCACAGAGGAGCAAGGTGGAGCAAGGTGGCTGCGACACGACAAGTACAGCAAAACGTGTCATGTCCGAGATCTGCAAGTCGGAAATCAGACAGAAGGTGTGTGTGTGTGTGTGTGTGTGAGAGAGAGAGAGAGAGAGAGAGAGAGAGAGAGAGAGAGAGAGAGAGAGAGAGAGAGAGAGAGAGAGAGTCAACATGAATGTGTAAGAAATTTGAAATTGAATTATAAAAGGGAAAAAAGGGACCACATGTTGGTTTTAGGATTCACAGTTCGGGACTCAAGCTGCGAAGGCAAAACTCGAGCTGCAACCAGTCAGCTTACCTCTAAATCTTTTGCAGTGTTGAAGTTCCCAAGACACAGACTTTCACCGCCAGCTGACACGGTTGAGTTGACCCGTCTGTTCTCTGTCAGCGGGGAGGCATTATCAGAAGGAGGCGGCGGCAACCTGGTGCTGCGAACATCTTCGCCTGCCAAATGGCTGTTGCCACCATCGCAAGCATCATCCACAATTGCTATGCCAGCACAGCCGTCGGCCACGGACTCTATGCCACCACTCTCCGCAGCACTGGGCGATCTCTGTGAGGAAGAAACACCTCCCTCTCCTTGCAATTCTCCTTGCGATCCATCCGTCGACTGCGCTGGCGACGATGCAAAAGGTCCGTCTCCCAGCGGGCCCCGAGGACTGGAGTCGTACCCGCTTCCATCGTCCGCGGAACTGGCCGATCCTGATGTCCCTGCGCCGTCCCTTCTGTCCTCGTGCTCCTCGCATTCACTGTCTTCTTCATCACTCTCATTCACAGCCTCCAACATTTCCCTGCAATGTAAATTGAAATTTGAACAGAACACAAAACAAGAAAAGACAAGAAAAGAAAAGAAAAGAAAAGAAAAGAAAAGAAAAGAAAAGAAAAGAAAACACAAGATCACAAACATGCTCTCTCAGGAAAAAATCTCCAAAAGGGATAGGTCGAAGGAACATCAAGCTTCCATTTGCACCAAGGACTAGGCTACCAGAGTGGCCCGGGGCAAGTTGCCCGGCCGGGCAAAAAATAACACAAAATATTAAAAAATAATAAATATTTTTTATTTTATTTTTCATTTCAAATTTGGTGAAGAATTTAGATGTGACCCTGAGGCAAAAGTTGTTCAGTTTATTTTTGTGCATCACATAGTTTTTTTAACTTTTTTTCAGTTTTTTTTTTTTTTTTTTTTGCTGGGCCCTTCGCTGGTCCTTTCACGGCCGAGCCGCAAAATCGAACAAGGTGACCCGGGAAGCCCAGCTGGTAGCCCAGACCAAGGATGAATAAAATAATCGCAGACAGCCCAAGAGGCCTCTTTTGCATTAAAAAAACAAAAATAAAACAAAACAAAAAACAAAAGTCACAGACAGAACGCTGGCAAATAGTGCAAAAAACAAAACAAAAAAGGATGCTGGCAAATCAGTTGCAATTCCAAACGCTTTTCCGTAGATATGCCTATGGACAAGGGAATGGAGAGAAATAAAAAGAGGACCATGACGACTTGCGTGTTCTATATATTGTCACAAGAATATCAGAGCACTAAAGCGGAAAAAAAAAGAAAAAGAAAGAAAACAAGGAAAAATTGAATTCGTTTTTTTATCTTCTTCCTTACAACGACCCCTGTTCAGAACCTCTTCCGTACAATATGCGATTTTTCTTTCCCTCGTTCCCCATTGGTGCGGGCAAAGCACACAGAAGCACTCTAGACCTCAGACAGCTGGCCTATTCCTTTTCTTCACTTCGCTCCGCAGTGCGATAGTACTTAGCAAGTTATCCATAGATCTTCTGCCAAGATATGTCTTCCGCGAGACGGAGCAGAGACAAGTGAATGAGGTCCATATCGACTGGTGTGTTTTCCGTGCCATTCTTCGCTTCCTCCTCCTCCTGCAGTGGTGGACAAAGCACACAGGAGCTCTCTACAACTCAGACAGCTGACCTATTTCTTTCCTCTACTTTTCTCCCAAGTGTGATAGTAATTATACTAATTAGTACTCAACAATTCCCAAATACAAACCTTACAAGATGACTGTCAAGATTTTCTGCACCTTATCCATTCTCCCTTTTTATTGTTACTACAATTAATTATTTAACAAGTGCTAGTAGTGTCTGCTCGTATCAGCACCACTAGCGTGGGAGGGTGTTAATTAAAAAAATAAAAATAAAAAAATGATGATTTGTCAAAAAAATAAAAATAAAAATAAATGTTGATGATTGACAACACCTGTCCTTTTTCCATCCACTCTTTCCACATGACAGAATCAAAGTGCCCCCAAGTACCACACGCAGACAAAGTACATAATATTATTAAATAATAATAAGCAGTCCCCCAAGTACCACACGCCTACAAAGTACATAATAATATTAATTAATAAGCAGTACCTTAATGCCCCCAAGTACCAAACGACTACAAAGTACGTACTAAGCAGTAACTTACCTCCTGCAGCAAAAGGACTGTACCTGAAGTAAAAGTTGCCCCAAATTCAAATTCAAATTCAAATTCAAGGGAAGAAGGCACCGTCTGTCCTTTTGTTTGGCACTGCCATTTGTCCCGATGCATCTGGCACTACCAGCTGTCCAGATGCACCTGGCACTGCCATCTGTCCCAAACCAAGTATTTGCGACCGTATTCAGCCCAATAGAATGCCTGGTCATTATCGCTGAATCTAGACTGAAAGTTGCCGCAAATGCGGATATGTTTACCGGGCGTTCTATTCAAGTGTAGGCTCAGAAGAGTATCTAGATGCCAAGCCTAATCCCCAACCCTAACCGAACCTTAAATAGGTGACCCGTTTCCTTTGATCACATTGCCTTTATTACAAAGGGGGGGAAATTTTTGATATGCCCCTGAAAGTTCGATTTATTTGCGGCATGCCCCCTAGACTTAACTAGCACTTAACCAGCACTTAACCAGGACTTAACCAGGACTTAACCAGGACTTAACCAGGACTTAAACCATGACTTAACCAGGGGCACTTAACCAGGACATAACCAGGACTTAACCGGGACTTGAACAGGACTTAACCGGGACTTAAACCATGACTTAACCATGACTTAACCATGACTTAACCATGACTTAACCAGGGGCACTTAACCAGGACTTAACCAAGGGCACTTAAAACCATGACTTAACCAGGACTTAACCGGGACTTAACCGGGACTTAACCGGGACTTAACCGGGACTTAGACCATGACATAACCGGGATTTAACCAAGACATGAACGCACATAACCAGGACATAACCACCACCCACCCAGGAAAACCAGGGCATAAAAAACGACGACGACAATGATAAGGAGGATACGGACGATAGATCACATGGTTTTATCCACGACTAAACCGAGACTTGACCGAAACTGAACAATGACTTAACCAGGGCATAACCGGGACTCAACCAGGGCATAGAAAAAGACAATGACAATGATAAGGAGGATACTGACGATAGACCACATGATTTCGACGGAGTACAGGATGAGTTAGAGGGCGGTGATGATGAAAGAGTACAGCACCCTTTTTTTTTTTGCCTTTTTTTGGGATGGTATCGGGTTAAGATGATACTGACGACGGGAAGAAAACGGCAGACTGGTGACAATGATGAGGAGGAGGAGGAGGCGGAGCAGGAGGAGGTGGTGGAGCCAGGGACGCCAGATGGACGAGGAGAGTTCTCAGGAAAAGGAGTTGGGAGGAAGAGAGAATGAGAGACGCATTCTCAGGAAGAGGAGTAGGGAGGAAGAGAGAATGAGAGACGCATTGCAGCGAGGAAAGAGAGATCGACGAAAAGATCGAGGAAAAGAAGGAACGGGAATGACTTCTGGCCCTTTCTGGGGCATAAAGGAAATATTCAGAGGCCCCAGGGGCACGACAGGGGAAGTCGGCTGTTCCAGCATGCCCCTGTGGCCGTTGGTAGCTCGCGGCCATGCCCCTGGCCCTGGGAAGGGACCTACGGGGCAGACAGGGAATTTGAAACCAGCCAGTACCGGTAGAGGAGCATATTGAAAATATTCCAGGTGGAACTCGCGGCCATGCCCCTGGCCGTTGGGAAGGGAGCTACGGGGCAGACTGGGAATGTGAAACCAGCCAGT